CTCCGCACTGACAAGCGTGCGCGCGCTCCGCCCCCGGGCGCCTGAGGAGAGGGAGCCAGGCCCGCAGGCCCGCAGGCCCGCAGCGGCCCCCTTCCGAGGCCAGGGAGCCCGCGGCCCAGTCAGCAGGGCGAGCTCTTCCTCTCCCCTGGCCTTGGCTCACCTGAGGTGCCCAGGGCCCACTAGTCCTCAGCGTCCTCACAAGCAAGGTTGTGCCACGTGGAGGGGCCACCGCACGGGGAACCAACCGCCATCAGGTGCCACTGCGCATGCGTGACTAACATTTGGGTGGTACTGCGCCTGCGCGACTGCGGCTCATGCAGTACTGCGCCTGCGCAGCTGAGGCTCGCGTAGTCTTTCGCCTGTGCTGCTCAGACCCCCAACCTTAGAACCCCAGGGCGCGTGAGGCCGGGCGTGGTGGCGCACGCCAGAGCTGGGGAGGCTGAGGCAGGAGGATCGCTGCGAGTTCGAGGTCTATGTCTCAAAAACAAACAAAAATGAAAATTAAAAGGGAGCATGTAAAAAAGGGCACACGCCTGAACTGGGCCTGATGGGGCGAGGCGGGGGTTTCAGGGCAGGCCGGTCCCACCAGAGGAGGTCTCTTCTGTTCCTGTACTCCAGCCGCTCCGCCCCAGAGTGCTCCAGCTCAGTGCTTCTATTCAGGCGCGTTTTTAGGGTCGGGAACCAAGGGTGGCCGCACAGGATGGAGGGTACAGAGCCTGTCTAGCCGCTGGCTTCGTCCTTTGCGGAGGACACTGAGGCACCAGGTAGCGGGCGCTGCCTGCCGAGGGAGGAGGAGGGAGCGATCTCTAAAGCGGCCCTCCCTCGCGTGAGTGAGTCCCGAGGCTCAAGCACGCGGGGCAGAGGGTGTGAACGGAGGTGAGCGGCTCCCCGTGGAGGACAGCTCGCCTTCCTGGGCCGGAGCTGCACAGCCTCGAGGGGACCGCGGAGCAGCGGCCGTGAGCGCAGCTTGGACGGAAGCTCGCGCGGCTGCCCGTGCTCGTGCGCGTGCACGAGCTGAGCCCGGGGACGAGCCCAATGCAGCAGGTGCGCGTGTGCGCGTGCGCGAGCTGAGCCCCGGGGCCGAAGCCGGAAGGCGCCAGTGCCCGCTGCAGGCGCGGCCTGGGCCTGCGGGAGGATCACGCCGCCCAGCGCGTGTGCCCGTGCGTGCTGACATGGTGGGCGGGACCCAGCCGAGCAGCCTCGGAGACCTGCAGGTGCACACGGGGCTCTGAGCTATCAGAGAGAGTGTTGGGGTGCAGGAGACGGGCAGGCTCTGCTTTCCTGCTTCGGACGAAGCCAGGGCACAAGGCGACTGCGTGCGTGCGTGCGTGCGTGCGTGTGTGTGTGCGCTCAAGAGTCTATGTGGCTGCTTCTGCGTGTGTGTGTGTGTGTGTGTGTGTGTGTGTGTGTGTGTGTGTGCGCGCGCGCGCGTGCGCGCTCAAGAGTCTATGCGGCCGCTTCCACAGGTCATCAAGATCCTGGGCACGGAGAAGGGGAAGAAGAACAAGACCAACCTGCTCTTCCTGGCCGGGCAGCGCGTGCTGCAGTGGGTGCAGCGGAGTCACGCGACTGAAAAGGCTCTGACCGCGCTGCTCAAGTACATCCTGTCCCCGTCCCGTCCCGTGCCGTCCTGTCCGCGTCCCTGGGGGTGGTCCCGTCTGTACCCAGCCCTGGACCCTTAGCTCTGCCCCTGCAGGGCGAACAGAGCAGTCCGCACGTCCGCGGGAAGACGCGGG